TGGGTGCTCCTGCAAGACCTCCAAGCTGCTCTCCAGGCTGAAGGAAAATCCTGAGCTGCTGAAGCACTACCTGAAGCACCTGCAGAAGTGCAGGAACTCCTTTGTGCAAGTGTTCCAGGTCAGGCTGGATGGGGCTGGGAACAACCTGGCCTGGCTGGATATGGCCCTGCCCAGGGGGTTGGACTGGGAGGTCTTTACAGGTTCCTTTCAATCCCAATCTTTTTGTGATTCTCCAGAAAAAAATGCAAGAAAATACAGGAAGCCTTCAAGGAGGAGACAACACATTTTGTTGTTTGCCCACAAATTCCCAGCTCTAACAAGGCTGCCAGGAGGGCTGGACAGGGCATGGAGCTGTCCCAAAGCACAGGGACAGCACAGCTTTGACAATAAAGGTTGTAGGTGGAATTGTCTCCAAGGTCAATGGAATGTGGAATGGATGCTCCAAGGAACAGAGGGAGTGACCCTGCACTGGGAATGCTGCAAAGTTCCTGCAAAGGGAAGGAATTCCTGGCTGGGAGGGAGGTGAAGCCCTGGCACAGGGTGCCCAGAGAAGCTGTGGCTGCCCCTGCATCCCTGGAAGTGTCCAAGGCCAGCTTGGATGGCACTTGGAGCACCCTGGGATAGTGGAAAGTGTCCCTGCCCATGGATTTTTAAGGTCCTTTCCACCCCAAACCATGCTGGGATTCTGTGAAATTAATCAAAAACCCCCATTCCCCTCCCATTTTGAGATATTAAACAGATTCCCTCATACCATTATCTCCATATTCCAGCCTCACAGCCAAGCCAAGAAGCCAATCCACTGTTTCTTGTCGTTCCTGTATTTTGAAGGGACAGTTCACATCTTTCATGTACTGAGGAGCAAAAAGAAGAGAAAATAAGTGGATTTTAGTGACTTGGAAAAACCAGTTGGCAGCACAGAACTGTGGTGTGAACAGACACTTTCCCACAGGCCTCACAGAAAATATTAATTAACAAGAGGTGTCACTGTGAAATTCCTGCTGTGGCATCTGATCCGTGTTGGAGTGTCCCAATCAACCCCTAGCTCAAGTCTGACACCTGGTAATGGAATTTTCATTTTAATTAATGTTTTGGGTTTTTTTTATTGTCAGACTGCACCCAGAGAAGCCAAAATGCCCTTGCTTTACTCTCTGCTCATGTCACAGAGCAAATTGAAAAAGAGAAGGTGGAATAAACTGGAACAAAGCCTTCCCACCTGGAATGAATCAGAGGATTCCCTAAATTAATTTTCCCTTTTTTAGGGATTTTGTACAACAAGAGAGGACAAAACCAGGCTGAGGTTCTGTCTGTGCTGTTCTGAACCCAGAACACGAGATCCAGCCCTGGCTGCTGCCAAGGATCCCAAAAACCAGGACGTGGTGACATTTTGTTGTGTCCCTCTGCTACAGGGCCAAAAGTGCCACATAGCTGGGAAAAGGATGCCAGGGGCTGGAAAACAGGAATTCCCTGTTAATTATGGAGAGGAGACTCTCACCAAGGCAGGAAAGGCACCACTGCTGCCAGGAATTCCAGATATTCCCATTTATCTACAGGATGTTGGAATAATTCAGGTTCTCCCTGAGCACTGCAACTCCTGAGCAGTGAGCAAAGGAGGGAGAAAAAAAAATTGGGATGAATTGGGAATTACAGAGCAGGGAAATGGGAACCAAGAGGAAAAGCTCAAGAGTTTTGTGGTGGCTGGAAATGCTCAGAAGCACAGAGATCACCCAGAGTCCATTTGGATGCAGAAAATCCATCTGGAATGACAGGAGGGGCAGGGATGAGCTTCACCCCAAATGCTGGCAAGGCCTGCAGGAGCCTCACCCACCTCCTTTTGGTACAGGAGGAGCATTAATGCACAAAAAATTTGTTTATTTGCAGTCAGCTTTCCTTCTGCTTCAAGAGCTGAATCAAATCAGGCAAAAAAATCCAAAACAGATTAAGATGGATACTCCACCTATTAAACAAACAAAGCCGAGGGAAAACTATGCAGGAAATTCTCCTATTGTAATAAACTCCCCCAGTTTGGCTGAAATAATACATTGAAATTCCTAGAAATGTAACAAGACAAATCTCCAGAGTTATTTCCATTCCACAGCCACAGCAGCTGTGAAAGATCATTTACAGCAGCCCTAGTCTGGAACAAGGAAATACCTTCTCAAAGGATTTGGGCCAGTCCTCACTGTGGATGTTCCTCAGATTCCCTCTGTCCTCGATCTTGTAGTGTCTGATTTTCTGGTCCTCGAGCCAGACAATGAAATTCCTGAACTCTGTTTCATCTGTGGGGAGGCAGGAATTTAAAGATATCTTCAGCTTTGATGCCATTCATACAAATCTTGACGCCTCTGAGCACTTTTACCATTAAAATTCCATATTTATATATAAAAACCTCACTAAAATTGTGCATTCTCTGACCAAAAATCGACCCTGAGTGTTTTTCAGTTTTCAAACTGGCTGTAACTGACTGACCTCATTAAGGGCATCAGCCAATAGTTCACTTTTTATTGGGAATATAATTATAATTTATGAAGCACAGTAAGACAGCTGAAAAAATAACAGAGAATTTGAGTTTCTAACTGTATTTTCAGCACAAACAGAACACATAGAGCACTAATCCCCAATTCCTCTCAGAAAACACAGCATAAATATTGCGGCTGTACATTTGTTCCATTCACTGCTGACTCCTCTTGCTCGCTGATCCAAAATCCCGTTTTTGGGGGCTGGAATTGCACAATTCCCAGGCTTTGGCGCACACAGGGATGCTCACATTGGGTGACATGACACGGGAGGTGACAGCTCTGGGATGTCACTGCTCCCTCAGAGCCCAGCTGGGGTATTTTGGCTCTGCATGAGCTTTGGTTATGGAATTATGGAATGGTTTGGTGGGAAGGGACCGTAAAGCCAAGCCAAGCTCATCAAATTATCCCATCCCATTATCCCATCCCATCATCCCATCCCACCCCTTCCACTACTCCGCCCCCTCCCCGTAGCCCCTCACCCCTGCAGTTGAAGCCGGCGGGGTTGTGGTAATCGAGTGCCGAGAGCTTGCGGCGGAACATGGTCCCGGTACCGGTACCGGAGCCGGCCCCGATTCCGATCCCAGATCCCGATCCCGGTGCCGGCGCCGCCTCCCCCGTTCAGGCCGCGCCGACGGCGCCGCACGGACCGGAAAGACGGGAACGCCCGCCCCCCCGCGCAGCGTTCTGTTCGCTGATTGGTCAGTGCGAAGAGTGGCGGCTGTCTTAACCAATCAGAGAGCGAAGCGGGCCGCCGGAAGGGGAAGTGGCCTCTGTGCCGCGGGTATGGACGCGGCGGGGGCGGGGCCGAGAGGAGGCGGGGCCTGATGTGGGCGTGGTCTCTGTGAGGGGGCGGGGCCTGGGCTCGGTGACCGCAGGGCGGGGAAGTGGGGCGGGTGCTTCGCTGTACTGGGAATACTGGGAGCTGTACTGGGAATACTGGGGGTACTGGGAGCTGTACTGGGGATACTGGGAGTGCTGAGAGCTGTACTGGAGAGTACTGGGAACGCTAGAAGCTTTACTGGGACCTGTACTGGGAGCTGCACTGGGAGCACTGGAGAGCTGTGCTGGGAGAATTGAGCTGTACTGGAGAGTACTGGGAACGCTGGGAGCTGCACTGGGAGCTGTACTGGGAGCACGGATCTGACTGGGGAGCAGTGATCTGTACTGCAAGATTCACCAATATTCATCAACATTCATCAATATTCACCAACATTCATCAATATTCATCAACATTCATCAATATTCATCCTGGCATTTCCTCCGTGCCAGCCCTTCCCAGCGCTCCAGCTGGCACCCACTGCAGGATGGCACCGGGATGAGCCTCAGGGGGATCCAGGGGGGTTTCTGCCTCCCTTTCCCTTTAGGATTTTTCCTCTCCCAGCCACTCAATCTCCTCCAGCTTCTTGCTGGGGTGGTGTCAGCAGGGCAGGGATTTTCTGTCAGCTCAGCCTCCTTCAGCTTTCCTGGAATTCTGGAATTCCAGAATGGTTTGGGTCGGGAGGGACATTAAAACCCATCCAGTTCCACTGTCCCAGGTTGCTCCAAGCCCTGTCCACCCTGGCCTTGGACTCTTCCCTGGATCCAGGGGCAGCCACAGCTTCTCTGGGCACCCTGTGCCACCACCCTTCCAGCCAAGAATTCCATATATCCAACCTAAACTTCCACTCTTTTGGTTTGAACCTGTTATTCCTTGTCCAGTCGCTGAGGAATTTCCTTCTCCCATGTCCCTCTCCCTGGACAGGAAGCCACACAGTGACATTCAGGTGAGCAGGACAGGCACAACAACTCCAGCAGGGAGAAAAGGAGCTTGGCACCATCCCCAGGTGTGTCACACACTGTGAATGCCACCAAGAGTGACAAGAATGGAGGCAGTGAAACCTCTGCTCTCCACCCCTGCTGCCTTCATCACCTTCCCAATCCACCCTTGGATGTCACACACACTTGAGAATCCCCCAATTTTTTGGTGGGTCCAACCCTTCCTGCAGCAACACACGGGACAAATCCACCCATGGGGGAGATGAGCTGTGCCTCTCCTCTCCCTGCTGCAGAGCTAGCGGGCTTGCAGCTAATGAATGCAATTAGTGCAGATGGGTTTATTGTCATTAGGGAGCCGGGCAGGGCCCGACTCTGGCGCAGCACAGGGAGCAGCATCTCGCCCACGCTCTCCCTGGAAGCTCCACAGCTCCTCCTGCTCGGCAGATGCTGCTGCTCCGAGGTGCTGCTGAAGCCTGGGGAGGTGAGGATGGAAGGGAGCAAGCCTTGGAGCTGGAGGGGATCCAGGGAGCCACGGAACAGCTGAGCTGCCTTGGCAGGCAAGGAGAGACTTGGCTCCTTCCTCCCCAGCGACACCATTTTGCTTTTAAGCTGCTCTGATGGACAGGGAAAAGGATGGAGAGGCTGGGAGTTGATGTTGCTGCTCGTCGAGGTGCTTGGAAAATCGGAGTGTCCAGTTTGGGTCACCTTGTTCTCCAGCCCAGGAATGAGCTGAGGCCAAGCAGCCTGGAAATGTGTCCAGGAGCTTTGCTGGGAAAACGCTCACCCCTGAGGGTCCTGTGAAACTGGAGGGAAAATTCAGGATGTGGGGAATTTGGTAGGAGCAGAGTAGATTGGATTCTGTGATCAGGGAGTGTTCTAGTAGTAGAAGGAGTAAGAATCGTGGAATCACAAAATCCTGGAGTGGTTCGGGTTGGAAGGGGCATTAAAAATCACCCAGTTCCACTCCTGCCATGGCAGGGACACCTTCCACTGTCCCAGGGTGCTCCAAGCCCCATCCAGCCTGGCCTGGGACACTTCCAGGGATCCAGGGGCAGCCACAGCTTCTCTGTGCACCCTGTGCCAGGGCCTCCCCACCCTCACATTAAAAAATTCTTCCTTATATCTGAGTCTGGATCAACCCTCTTTTAGTTTAAAACCCTTTTTGCTGTCACTCCAGGCCCTATAAAAATCTGTCCTTCCTTGTAAGGTTCCTTCAGGCTCTGGAAGGGGCTCTGAGCTCTCCCTGGATCCTTCTCTTCTCCAGGTGAACACCCCCAGCTCTCCCAGCCTGGCTCCAGCCCTTGGAGCATCTCTGTGGCCTCCTCTGGATTTGCTCCTGTGCTGAGTGCCAGGGCTGGGAGAAGAAAGAAAGAGAGGGGGAAAAGGGATGGAAATTGGAAATTTTAGGTGTGTCTCAATTTCTGAGCAAGGAGCAATGTCCCACTCTGAAGGAGCCTGTTCTCCCCTGCCCTGCCTCATCCCGTGGGAACAAAAAACTGCTGAAACCCCAAGAGGCTTCGCTTCCCTCCCTAACAGGCACCAAAATCCTGCCAGACCCCCCCTGACAGAGAGAACCCCTTTGGGAACAGCATCCAAACACAAGCAGGACGGCATCCCACCTCCCCAAGGGTTGACAAGCACAGAGCAGCATCTCCAAAGGCTTGAAACAAATCCAAAAGTTTATTTCCAACGAGTACACAGACCATGTGGGATGGGGATGCGCTACACCACGACTGGCTTTCGCCTACAACCACCCCCTCCCCAAAATCCTGCTGCTGGCAGCGTGGCAATCCACAGACAGACTCACCACCAGCAACCTTTGCAGGCAATAAAAGTCCTTTTTCCAGTACTCCAGATGTTTTTTTGTTTTTTTTTTTTTCCTTTAAAAGCCTGGGGGTAGTGGAATGTTGTTGGAAACCAGGCTGGAAATCCAGCATGGGCATGGAGGGATGGGTGGGATTTTTGTTGTGAGGAGGGGAAACAACCTTGGCAGGCGATCTCTGCTTGGCTAACAAAGGCAGATCTGTGTAAATAGAAATACTGGGGTGAAATACCTGGCAGCACACCAATGGCAACACCACAACCTACAGAAAAATCAAGCCCAGCAATGTAAAACACCTTCAAGGAGTGGTTTGGGTTAATTCAAAATCTCCCCCTCCCCGCTCCCCCATATTCATGCAGGTTTATTTCATCCTCTAAGTTATTAAGAATTCGAGTTGTAAAATAGGCAAGTCGTTTAAAAAAATTATTACAAACCACTTTTTATGACAGTGCTCGAGAAAGGGGTGGGAGCCCCGGGTCAGACCGGCTGCGCTTCACTCTCTGTGACAAAAATCAGATTAAAAACAAAAAACAAAACTCAGGATGGGGTTTTTACATCTCTGCCTGGTAACACCAAAAGTGAAACCAGCTGCAGAGCAAACCACTTCATCCACCCTTCATCCTAAAGCTACGGGAGCTGTAGTAAAAAGATCAAAATTGAGGGAATTAAGGAGGGCTGGGACCACCTAGGCTACTTGTGGCTTATAAACATTCCCAGGTGCCAAAAGTTTGGAGTCCAGTGTGAGAAAAACTGGCCTTCTCTGTAGAAGAACTAGAAAAAGAGTATGAAAAGGTAGAAAAACCAAAAAGCACTTTTTTTTTTTACGGGCTAGAAAGAGTTACCAAAAGGTACCTAAAGATTTTTGCCCTCCCAGATCCACAGGGATTTTTAAGCTCACACCTGATTCAGAACTGGTCCAGCGGGGTCACCACAGACCCCCAAACCCCTTTGTGACACCCAGCTCGTTTTGTACACAAATCCCCACGTTATGATTCCCAAAGTGATGATTCCCAAAGTTTCCCAGGAGGATGGAGGAGCAGGGGAAAGCCAGGAGGTGTTTAGCAGCAGAAAGGAGAGACAAGCCACGTCCACAAAAGTATGGACCCAAGGAGGAGCCCAGAAAGGTGGCATGTGTCCCCCAGGAGCTGGGAGCAGATGGAGCAGACCTGGGAATAACTCCCCAGCCTGGCAGGGAGCCCAGGCTGTGTGTAAACAGGGAATCAGGCACCTCTGGGAAGGGGCAGCCCCACGGCTCCCAGAGCTGCTCCCATGGCCCTTCCCAACGTGGGCAAGGGGCAGCGGGAATGGGAGAGGAACGGGGGGCAGGAAGGGGCAGGAACATCCCAGCAGAAAGCAGCATCCCATGGTGGGACAGCATTCCATGGAGGAGCAGCATCCCATGGTGGGACAGCATCCCATGGAGGAGCAGCATCCCATGGTGGGACAGCATCCCATGGAGGAGCAGCATCCCATGGAGGAGCAGCATCCCATGGTGGGACAGCATCCCATGGTGGGACAGCATCCCATGGTGGGACAGCATCCCATGGTGGGACAGCATCCCATGGAGGAGCAGCATCCAACCATGGGGCTGTATCCCACCATGGAGCAGCATTCCATGAAGGAACAGCATCCCATTTTGGAGCAGCACCCCACCATGGAGCAGTGTCCCACCATGGAGTAGCATCCCATTTTGGAGTACTGTCCCACCATGGAACTGCATCCCATCATGGAGGAACATTCCATGAAGGACCAGCATCCCACCATGGGACTGTATCCTATCATGGAGCAGCATCCCATGGTGGGAAGGCATTCCATGGATGAGCAGCATCCCATTTTGGAGTAGCATCCCACCATGGGGCTGTATCCCAACATGGAGCAGCATTCCATGGTGGAACTGCATTCCATGGAGGAGCAGCATCCCATGATGGAGGAGCAGCATCCCATGGTGAAGGAGCAGCATCCTACCATGGAGGAGCATTCCATTTTGGAGCAGTATTCCATGAAGGAGCAGCATCCCACCATGGAGCAGAATCCCACCATGGAGCAGCATCCCATTTTGGAGCAGTATCCCACCATGGGGCTGTATCCCATCATGGAGCAGCATCCCATGGTGGAACTGCATTCCATGGAGGAGCAGCATTCCATGGAGGAGCAGCATCCATGAAGAAGCAGCTTCCCACCGTGGGGCTGTATCCCATCAGGGAGCAGCATTCCGTGGAGGAGCAGCACCCCACCATGGGGCTGTATCCCACCCTGAAGCAGCATCCCAGCACAGAGCAGCATCCCAGCACTGAAAACCATCCCAGCAACATTCCAGACCAGCCCCAAGGGAAGGAAGTGCTACCAGGACCGGGGAAAAGAGCAGGACGGAGCGCGGAGGGCAGAGGCACAGAGGTGTAGGAGAAAGGAAAAGACCCGGAAAGAAGCGCTCGGCTTTGATTTTCGGATTTCTGGCTCGCCCTGCACCCGGGCCGGCCCCTGCCCTGTGGCAGGAGGGATTTCAGGCACGTCTAAGGCATCTCAGGAGCTCTCTCTGCTTCCAGAATCGCCTCTGGTTTCCTCCCTACGGCTTCTGCCACCAGCACGTGGTGCCAAACGCTGGAAAAGAAAAGTCTGGAGCGGATGAACGGAATGAAAACTCTCATGCACTACCACTGAATGTCATCACAGGGCTATGGGGCACCAAGCACGACACAGGAATCACTTTTACTTGCAGAACCCAAGCTAACCATAGAGAGAATGGGAAAAAGTGGGGTTTGCTGGGGACACGGAGCTGCCAGTGTCCCCTCCACCCACCCCCCCCGCTATGCTACAGCCAGAAATGAAAAAGCACAAGACCAAACATTGAGTAACAGCACAGCCACCTAACCTGTCGCTATATATTCGACAAATCAAAAATATTAGCTTGGAAAGAAACCAACAATATCATTCCAAGAGGGTTATACACATCCCTAGCAGTTAACTTTGCTCAGCACAGCTCTGGTGCTTTAAATATGGAACAATCAAACAATTTTGTGAGCAGAAAAGTGACACAGATTTATTCTTTACATGGATTTTTTTTGTTGTTTTGTTTTGTTTTTTTTGTTTTTGTTTTTCTCTTTCTAGGCAACTCTACAGACTTCAGATCTTTTGCCTTGCAATGCAGATCATCTGATTCCCCCAAAGGTGGCCAGGTTCTTTAAACATGCACATCTCTGTAGCTTCCAGGCCGTGTTTGGATTTTTTTTTTTTTTAAACTTATTTTTGTTTAAATTCTGCAGACCAGCAGGTCGTCCCCATTCCTAAAAACTCTACATCAGTGTTCAGGGTTGGCCTGAGTGCCTGTCAGGCTCCTCCAGGGTTTACAGGATCACACAGAAGAACTTCTTCTCTCTGAAGGGGTTTTCTGAGGCTGGGACAGGGGTCAATAGAGGGTCCTCCTTGGCGTGGGCTTCACAATATGCCATCAGGTCTGCTGCTGCTTTGGACACCTGCAAAAGGAGGCAGGAAATCAGGGGTTAACTGCACCACCTCGTCACTGCCTTGTCTTCATTTTCTTCTGCCTTCACTCAGAGTCAGGATTAAAACCCAGGAGATGAATTTTCTTGTGTGTCGAACTTGGTTGTTTATTAAATCTTATCTAAAGTACAGAGAGTTCTGTAACACTTCCAGCTACCAGCTAAAATGGAGATCCACTTAGCTAGTTATGAGGTCTTTTAAAACTAAACAGTCCAATAAAGAATTAACACCTGTATTATTTATACTTTTGACCCAATAACCAAACTTCTGTCACCAGCAGTGCAGCACTGACTGTCCAACCAAAAACTACTGCCTGAAATCATGAAGAAAAAGGAACAAAAAAAGGAAGATGGGGCAATGCCTGTTGGATCACAGAAATCTGGAGTTTTTGAGCTTTCTGTGCTTTCAGGCACAGACCCCCAGGAGAACACTGCTTTGGACCTGAGGCCTTGGAGAAGGCTCCAAATTTGAGTGATGGAGTAGAAATCACAAGTGTGTAGTGAATTGGAAGTGTGTGTTTTCATAGGGTGATGGGTTTTAAATTTAAAGTTTTTATAATACAGTAATAGGACAAGATGGGGTTTTTGGGCATCGTCTCTTTCTTTGTTCATCTTTCTTCTTCCTTCTTCTCCATGGTTTCAGGCAGAAGTTTCTGGTTGGTCAGTCGGTGTCACTCTAAGAGTCATGGAAATCGAGTTATTGGGTCAAAAATATAAATAATATAGGTGTTAATTCTCTGTTGGACTTGTAGCAGTTGCCTCTGTGGCCATTTTTCCTCACTTCTAGCAAGGAGCTGGAAGTGCTCTCATAGTCTCTGTGCTTTCTGATAAAATACAATAAACATCCAAGCCTGAACACAAAAACCCCTGTTTCAATCGTGTTTGTGTTAATCCTGGCTCTGAGAAGAAGACAGAACAAGACTGATGACAAACCACGAATTATGTGGTGCAAAGCCCCTGCACTGCTGCCTACAAATGCCCAAGAACCTCCATCTTGTCCCATACCTATTACTATATTCTAAAACCCCAAATTCCAAACCCTTCTCCATGTGCAATCACACACTTCTATTTAACTACACATCCGTGATTTTAACTCCATCACCCAAATTTGGAGCCTTCTCCAAGGCCTCAGCTCCAAAGCAGTGTTCTGCAGGGGGTCAGTGTCAAAAAGCACAGAAAGCTCAAAACTCCCAGATTTCTGGGTTCCAACAAGGAGGAGCCCTGTGTTGGGGACATGCCACCTGGGGAGGTGCCACCAGCAGGGAAGGGCTGGCAGCATCCCTGGGCAGGGAACAGCAGATCTGAGAAGAGAACCTGACCAACAGCACATCCCTGCTGGGGCTGGTTCTGGGCTGGTTCTGGGCTGGGTCTGGGCTGGTTCTTCACCTCTGGGCTCTGAGCTGTCTGTCAGCCTGTATTCCCATTCCCAGCCTTCCCCCATTCCCATCCCAGCCTGACAAGGTTGACTTTAGCATCCCTGCTGGCTCTCCCACACATCCCTTGGCAGGAACATCCACAGCAGCATTTCCTGCCCTCACCCACCAACCTCGCTCTTTATTCCAGCAGCTCCCAAGCCACCAAAGCTTCTCTCCCTGGATTTAAGCTCTTAGCAAGGAGCTGAGATGCCTTGGGGACAGTCACTCCTTCCCACCACCCCACAGGGCTCCAGGTGATGCTTCCAGCTGCCTCTCACCCCTGGGAGGGCTCACAGCCAGGCTTGGAGCAACCTGGGATAGTGGCAGGAGGACGGAACAAAAAAGGGCTTTAAGGTCCATCCCAAACCATTCCCAGATTCTCTGATCCCATCTCCCACTGCCTTCAGCCAGAGCCATCAGGAACAATTCAAATAAAAGCATCCCCCACAGCAGCCACCACCTGGCTCCACATCCACACTTTGGGCAGCACCAACCACCTCTCAGCATTCCCAGAGCAGCTCCCAAGGATCCCTACCTTTATCCTGTCGATGTTGGCCTCCATCTTCAGCTGCTCCACCAGCTTGCGGGCTTGTGCTATGCTAGCAGTGTTGTTGCTAGCCATGGGCAGGAGAGGAGCTGCAGGGATGGGCTGTGGGCAGGAACACACCAGGATCAGCACCTGGGATGTCCCCAGCCCTGCAAACCCCCAAAGGATGGGCTGGGGCTGCACGTGTGCAGTGTTAGAGCCATCAGAATGAGGGGGTGAGGATGGGAGATGCCAAGGCAGGGACACACAGCCACTGTTGTCCCCAGAGTAGAGTGAGAGGAATGTTGGATTTGTCTTTACAAAACGAGCTGTGGGTCTGCTGGTAGATTAAACCAGCGCTGAGAGAGAAAAGAAACCATGGGAAGGATTGCACTGACTGATGAATGGAAAAAGAGATTTGCCTTTGCAAACAAACTGTAGGTTTGCTGAGAAATGAAATTGGGTATTGAAAGATGAAATTGGATATTGAAAGATGAAAGAAACAACGGGGGAAAACCATAAATTCCATAAAAATTAGAAATTAAAAGGGAGGGTTGTACATTAGAGGGGAATCTCAGGTGTTCTGGGAAGTCTGGACCTCTCAAGTACCTCAGCCAATGGGGAAAGAGAGAGGGAAACTGGGATAAAAAAGAGGCTGCATCCTCTAAAAATTTGAGTGACCCCATGGCCTCTGCCTTTATTCAAATAAAGTAAAAGGACTCCTCTGTCTCCTTTTTGGACATGTGGTATTTGTGGATTAATTTTCCTAACAAGAGACAACATCACTTAGGTGACACTGGGGCTGTCCAGAGCCCAGCTGAGCTGTGCTTTGGGCTTTGCTGTTCCATGAAAGTCTGTGACAGCCACCAAACCCAGAGAACAGGATTTCTGTGCCAGACTCATTCCCTGCCCATCATCCAGCCCCGTGCCAGTGCCCAGTGTGTGTCCAGCGTCCCTTGGCCTCCCTGGCTTTGTCCCTGCTGCCAATTTGCACATTGAGATGCTAAACAGGATGCTGGAGTTTCCTGTTTCTGGACATTTCTAGCCCAGGCAGGCGGGGGATGCTCATTAAGGCCAAGCCAGGCTGGGTCCTGGATGTTTTTCTGGCACCTTCTACCAGCAGTGAGCTCTGGCACAAGCAGCAGAATCCCAGCATCCAGCTCCTCCAGCAGCACTCCTGCCTGACTGGGGCTGCCTGCCAGCTCCAAAATGTTTTTGGTTTTTTTTGGGGGGGGAATGTCCTGCAATAGCAGGGCACAGCAAGACCCCTGGGTGATGGGACAAGCCCTAACATAAGGGAATTGTGGTTTTTTAAGGAAGAGATGAGGGCATGCCCAGCTCAAGCTCATCTTAGAGGGGTTAGAGTGTTTGGAGAGAGGGATTTATAGAAGGAATCAACCTGGCACTGCTGCCTGTGCTTGAAGAAAAGTCATGCCAGGGCCAGACAGGGTTTGAGGATGAGGAGGAGAGCACAAGGAAAGGTTATTTTTTTACCAGAAGTCGATCTCTCCGGTGATTTTTGCCTCTGAGGGAAGCTCTGCTCCTCTTGGCCCTTCACTGCCTTCAGATAAAGAGAACAGAAAGCAAAACTCAGCTCCATGGGAACTTCACCCCCAGCACCAGTGACCCCAGAAGTCCAGGGGTGCCACATCCCCAGGTTCCTTCCGTGCCAGCCCAGCCCCCAGTGACATTTTGTGTTTGCATTCAGTGAGGTTTTCAGCACAGGAAGAGGTTTCAGGCAGTGGGCAAATAGCCCAGGGCTGCTGGCAACCCTGCAGGCTGAGGATGCACAGGGCCAGGGCATGGATTTAAGGGCATGGATTTAAGGGCATGGATTTCACATATGGATTTCACATGGATTTCACACATGGATTTTCATTCTCTGTGCTGCACACAGCTCGTGGTGGGGTGGTGGACAAAATTCTCCAGCTCCTGACTGGATCTGCTCCTCTCAGGCTTATATCAGACATATAAAAAAGTATTGCCCAGAATCAGCAGAGAAAGGTCAAAAAAACTCAGATTTATGGGATCCAACACAGGCCCAGCTCTGTGCCATGGCTGGAGGTTCAGTTCAGCCCCTGCATTGTTTCCCTGCTGGTTTATCTCATCTCTCTCCTCATTTTTTTCATGGCTGGAGCAGCAGAGTGCATTCCTCCTGCTTTTCCTTTCCCTGCAAAGCCATGGAATTTGGAGAGCCCTGGGTTCTGGCACAGCAGCTGGGAAAGCTGGTGCAGGTTGAACCAAGATGCTGCTGCTGCCTGGTTTGGGTGGCACAGAGCCTTTCCTAATGTCATCCCAGGAAAATGTCATCCCCAAAGGGTGTGGGGGTGGCACTTGGGGACTTGGGTTAGTGCTGGGATTGGCTGTGCTGAGGACTCGAGCTTAGAGGGCTTTCCCAACCTAAACAATTCCCTTTCACACACAAAGGGAGTCACTTCAGGGATTTCAGTCCTCCCATGTTTAGGATCCAGGGGATCAGGGAGGGCTGCTGAGAGCACCTGCATGGCTGTTACAGGCCTGAGCCTTTCAATAATTCTGTATATCCAGCCCTGCTGCCACCCTCCTGCAAGGAAACCCTGCCCTGCTCTCACTACAGCCAGCCCTAGGGACACTAAAATGAGGAAAACAGCCCCAAAAAGGAGGTGAGGGAAGGGTGGGACCCTGGTGGGAGGGGTCACCTGTGAGCACAGGGCTGCTGGGACAATGTTGGGGACTCGGGGGCGACTCAGAGGAGCCTCCCAGGAGCCACCACAGCCTTGGCCACACTCAGCTGCTCTGCAGGTGCTTCAAGTAGAAACGAGAACCATTTTGGGGCCAGTGATGGTTTTAGAGCGTTTCCTCCACCATGAATAACAAAAAAAAAAAAAAGCAGCAGGTGACACTTCAAAGCGAGCTGGTGAATGTCCCACCCAGGAAAACAGAAAAGCAGCTTTTAAATCCCAAAGAGAGGAGACCCCACTGTGCCTCCAGGAAGGTGTGGAACCATCAGGAGTAACCCCACAATTCCATGGGTTTTTTTTTTTTGTTTGTTTGGATTGGATTTATCATAGAGAGATGGAATGGTTTGGGTTGGAAGGGACCTTAAATCCAATTTAATTTTCATTTAAATTAAATTTAAATCCTTAAATCCAATCCCATTCCACCCCCTGCCATGGGCAGGGACACCTTCCACTATCCCAGGCTGCTCCAAGCCCTGTCTAACCTGGCCTTGGACACTTCCAGGGGCAGCCACAGCTTCTCTGTGCCAGGGCCTCACTCTCATTATGAAGAATTCCTTCCCACTATCCCATCCATCCCTGCCCTCTGGCTATTCCCTGTGTCCTGTCCTTGTCCAAAGTCCCTCTCCATTTTTTTGCATCCCTTTAAACAAACTCAACCCTTTCCACGCACAGTAAATAACCCCCCAGCCCCTCTGCACAACAGACAAATATCAAAGCAACCTGGCAAGATCCCGAGTTGTAATTACAGAGCAGAGCCCAAAAGAGACAATATCCATGTCCTGGCCAGTGTTAAACATCATTAGCATGAAAATAATGAGGAAGGACTCATTAACCTGTGTGCTCCAAGGCAGGAATCCCATTATCCAGGCACACACGTGCCATTAAAGGAGGGAAATAAGGCACTGCCTGAATTCCCTTGGGAGTGCCCCAAAACTCCTTTTATTGCAGGCAAAGCTCAGCACAACAGCTGGGGCTGTGAGAGCAGCCCTGTGATCGTGGAACATCAGGAAATTTGGGTGGTTTTTACCTTCGTGCTTGGGATTTTGCTGCCTGAGCTCTGATGGAGAGGATATGGAGATGAATTGGGATAATGCTCCTGTATCCAAGAGCTGGGAATACCCAAATTCCCCAAATGGGGTCAGGCAGGGCTCTGTGCATCCACCACATCTCCACTCCTGGCTCTGGAAATTCCCAGCCCAGGGAGGGATGTCACTGCTAGGAAATACAATGCCTGGAAAAGAAACTTCCCTCTAAATGCCACACTCAAATATTTTGGCTTTTTTTTTTCCTTGGATCTGATGATACTTTCTGGGGTTTTGTTTGGTTGACTGCAATGAGTAAAGAGGAAATGGGGCTTGAAGGAGAGGAGGATGCTCCAGCAGCTTGGTTTGCCTTAAATCTCTTCCCTGGGAGGGTGGGGAGGCCCTGGAATAGAATTCCCAGAGAAGCTGTGGCTGCCCCTGGATCCCTGGAAGTGTCCAAGGCCAGGCTGGACAGGGCTTGGAGCAGCCTGGGACAGGGGAAGGTGTCCCTGCCATACCAGGGGATGGAGTGGGATGAGCTTAAAGTCTCTTCCAACCCAAATCATTCTGTTTTTCCATGAAAAACGCTGGCAAGAAATTTTTTCAGCTGTACACGAAAATTTTGCTGCTGATTTTTGCTAGTTGGGTCCCTAAGCTCCAATAAAAAATCCACCTCATTTGTTGCTGTCTGCTGAAGGAAGAGCCTTTGATACATTGGAATGACATTTTTTTTCTGTCACCAGCAGCACCCAGCACAAAAAAAATGCCAAAAATCCCAATTTAGGCAGGCAAACAAAGAGGCACATCCCTGATCCCTGGTGCAGCTGGGCCAGCTCTTGGTCTGCTCATTCCAGCTTTCCCAAAATCATCTTTTATCCATTTGATGGGATGGGATTGGGGTTGGTTTGAAGTGCTCTGAGCTAAAAGCCACCATTGCTCTGGGCCAAGGGACAGCCAGCCCTCCTCCACCCCAGTCAGTGCCATCCACCCGGGCTCCTGGATGCAATCCCACACCAAATGGCACAGCCAGCCCACAAGAGCCACTGCAAAAAGAGCATTTCTTGCTGCTGAGCCCTCCTGCTAGGCTGCCATGCCATTCCTCCCTGCCAGCCCGGGCTCCTGGGGGGCTCTGGCAGCCCAGAGCTGCCAGCTCTGCTGGCAGGAGCCATTCAGCTTCCCTTGCCAGCCCCTTGCCAGCAGCAGCTGCTGCCTGCTCTGCACAGAGCTCAGCTCAGAGGCTGTGGAGCAGAGAGGATCCTGGAATCCGAGTGCCTGGTGCTGGATCCATCAGCAGCTCTGGCTCCAAAGCCTTGGAATCAGAGCTTCACCACCCCCAAAAGTTTCTTCTCCTCTTCTCGTTGGGTTTTTTAGCTCAAGGTCTGCGTGGGTGGAGATTGGAATTCTCCTGAGTGTTGTAAAAAAAAAAAATGGCATTTTCTCATCCCTGCAAGCGTCCAAGGCCAGGTTGGATGGAGCTTGGAGCAACCTGGGATAGTGGAAGCTGTCCCTGCCCATGGCAGGGGGAGGAAAATGTGACCTTTAAGATCCCTTCCAACCCAAACCATTCCACAGCTTTATGATTTTAAGGGTGATTAATTAGTGCAATTACCCTAAATAGGCACTGCCATTACAGAAGGGGGGGGGGTCTCTCAAGGCACATTTTGCACTGGGTTGGCTCTGTCACTGTCCAAAGGCAGCACAAACCCTGGGAATCATCCCTGGGAAGCACTTCCTGACATTCCTGGAAAAGCAAACAGCCCCTGAGTGAGATTTCATGGCTACCACGAGACACCTCCTGCATCTCCCAGGGTCTGAGAGGGTCTTTACCCATCCAGCTGTGGTCCTTGCCACTTCCAAACCAGTGGAACACATCCTCTCCTGACAACTGGAATAGGAATAGGCAGGAATTGGCAGCCCAACCACTGAAGGGATTTAAAATCCACGTGGATGTGGCACTTGGGGACATGGCTCACCAGCAGTGCTGGTGGAATGACCTTGGAGAGCTTTTCCAACCTGAATGATTCTGTGATTCAATTTTCCAGACTTTTTACATTTTTTTTACCTCCCAGCGTGGTTTTTTTCCTGCTTCCCACAAAACCCATCTCTCCCCTGTGAACCAAAAGGAAAAGCAGGAATGAAACAGAAAGTGTTGACATGGCCAGGCTGAAACCTCTCTGTTCCCTCACTGCAACAACCAAAAGCAGCATCACCCACCCCAAAAACTGCTCCTTTTTGGGGTGAAAGCAGCAAAAGTCATATTTTCCATCCCTGATGCACCAGCATTTTCCACTCAGCTTTAGCAAAGTGGGTGAATCCCAGTGGGACAGCCAGGATTTTGGGGAGAGCAGGCATCACCCAGGAGGGGTTGATCCAGAAAAAAAGGGATTTTTTGGACAAAAAAGGGGATTTTTTTTGGACAGAAAATGGGGGCTTTTGGTCCAGGAACGGTTCTGGACTGGGTATTATAATGGAGAAATTTGTCCCAAATCTCATTCACAATGGGATTTCTCCTTGTCCCTTGTGCTTCCCAAAAGCTGAGCCCAGCCCAGCTCGCTGCATCCCCACTGAGACAATCAGGCTCTCCCAAAATCTGCCTTTTCCTCCCCAAAATCAGCCAGGATGCAGCATCCAGGAGGGATAATTGGGAATAGGAGCGTGGGAATCCCTCGTGAGGGGCTGGATGGTTTTGCCAAGCATCTTGTGGCTTTTGCTAAAAGCCATGGCTAAAAATAGGTGTTTCAGCTAAAAAAAAAAATAAAAATTGCTAAATATATCCAGAAAAGTATAAAAATACAACAGGCAAAACAGAAAATAGCAGAGCCACGTTTTGCAGGGGGTGGGAGATGGGATAGTCCCACCCATCCCAACAGGATTTACAGATCTGCATGGGAAAGGAGCCTTAATACACCCAAATTCCACATATTTCACTCTTTCCTGAAGGAAAGAAAATGGTCTGAGCTCGATTTGTGCCTGTGAGGCAAAGAAAACCTTAATCCTGAGTGGTGGTTCCAGCCACAGCTCCCAGCCGCTCTCCACAGGGATTTTATTCCCTTTCCCAGCCTTTTTTTTTTTTTTTTTTTTGAAATCCTGGATGTCCAACACAGTGTTTAAATCCCTGGGAAGCAGCTTGCAGGTCAGAGATGTGCTGGTAGATAAATAAATAAATAAATTAAAAGACAACAGAGTGGAAAAAAAAAACCGAGCCTGTTTCCATGGAAACAGCTTCCTTATCCCAGCAGCATCCATCCCTCCTGCCAAACAGGAGAGGTGGGATGGGAGCCCCTTTCAGCCCCAGTTATCCATCCCAGAATATTTGGGCTTGGAAAGGGACCTTAAATCCCATCCAATCCCACTCCCTGCCATGGCAGGGACACCTCTCATTATCCCAGACTGCTCCAAGCCCTGTCCAGCGTGGCTTTGGACACTTCCAAGGCTGGGAATTATCAAGGCAAGGCAAAGAATATTTTTCTTTTTTGAAGAAAGGAAGAGCTCAGCGCTGGGATTGGCTGTGCCAGGGATGGGATGTGCCCTTCACCCACCTTGTGTGCCAGAGCTGACCACGACTGGAGCCCAGATGGAGTCAGGGTCTCACATTCCTGCTGTGTCCCTTTTCCCTGGAGCACTCCCTGCCCCCATGGGCATCACAGAACCTCTGCTCTTTGTTTTCTCTCAGGCCCCCAACGGCTCAAACTGAAGCAAACAGGAACCAACCTCCACTTCCTTTTTTTGTTTTTTAGGGTTTTTGTGGTTTTTTGTTTTTTTTTTTTCAATAAGATTGTTCAGGTGAACAATCAGCAGCCTGAGATGTCTGCTCTGGTTCTTCCTGCCACCGTTCCTACAAGATTTTTTTTGGCTCTCTCTCTCCATCCCAGTGCCACAGGGAGGGAGCACAGACCTGCTCCAGGGTTGGAAAAAAGGTCCAGAATCATGGGAATTCCACCAGGGAATGCACTGGTAGTTGAGCAAAACCCCAGGGTTTGTTATTTGGTTATAGGATTGTTATTTGAGGGGAAAATCCTTGGAAAAAAAAGTGTTGGTGCACAAGGGATAATCCCAGTGGTGGGAGCAGATCAGGCTCTGGGTGTTCCCTCACCTTGGCCAAATAGTGGGGAATTTAATAAGGATGTCCAGATTCTGGGGAATAAGGATGCCCAAATACCAGGGAATAACATGCCCAAATATTGAGGAATGCCCAGTTACTGGAGAATTCAAGGATGCCCAAAAACCAAGGAATACAAGTGCCCACATAAAGGGCAAATAAGGAATTCCCAGATGCCTGGGGAATAATGATGCCCAAAAATTGAGGAATAAGGATGCCCATAAAGAGGGAAAAAAAAGAATTCCCATATTCTTGGGGAATAAGGACGCCCAGATACTGAGGATTCAGGATGTCCAAATACTGGGGAACAAGGACACCCAAATACTGGGGAATTCAGGGATACTCAAACACTGAGGAATAAGGATGTCCCCAGAGAGAAAAAAAAAAAAAAAAAGGATTTCCAGATATTTAAGAAATAAGGATGCCCAAATACTTGGGAACAAGGATGTCCAGATTCTGAGGAATAAGAATGTTTGAATACTGAAGGATAAGGATGCCCAAATACTAAGGAATAAAATGCTCAAATACCAGGGAATAAAGATGCCCAAATATCAGGGAATAAGGATGCTCAGATACTGGAAAATAAAGATGCCCAAATACTGAGGAATAAAAATGCCCAAATATTGGGGAACACGGACACCCAAATACCCCAAAATTGGGGAATTCAGGGATACCCAAACACTGAGGAATAAGGATGACCCCAGAGAGGAAAAAAAAGGATTCCCAGATATTTGGGGACTAAGAATGCCCAAATTCTGAGGAATAAAAAAGCCCATACTGAGAGAAATATGGATTCCCAGATATTTAGGAAATACAGATGCCCAAATGCTTGGGAACAAGGATGTCCAAATTTTGAGGAATAAGAATGTTCAAATACTGGAGGATAAGAATGTCCAAATATCAAGGAATAAGGATATCCAAATACTGACAAATAAAGATGCCCAAAAACCAGGGAATAAGGATGTCCAAATATTATGAAATAAGGATGCTCAGATACTGGAAAATAAAGATGCCCAAATACTGAGAAATAAGGATGTCCAAATTTTGGGGAATAAGGATGTCCAAATATCATGGAATAAGGATGTCCAAATATCATGGAATAAGGATGTCCAAATCCTGAGGAATAAGAATGTTCAAATACTGAAGGATAAGGATGCTGTGACACCCCAGCAGGACAGGTAAATAAGGGCACACATCCTGTCACAGCAGCTCCAGCTGCAGCCCCCTGCTCTCCACCAGGGCTCAGCCCTGCCACGGCTGCACTTCACCAAAAATGAAAGTGCCTTAAGGTTTAATGGTTTTTTTTTTTTTTTTTAAGGGGTTGGGTTTTTAAGGTTTAATAAAATGTTAAACAACACCCAGAGGAGATTGGAGGTTGCTCCAGCACAGGAGAACACAGAAATCAGAAATCCCCCAAAATCCAGGGATGGATCAGAGTATCTCCAACACACAGATACAGAATTCCAGATTGGTCTGGGTTGGAAGAAATCTTAAAGCTCATCCCATTCCAACCCCTGCCATGGGCAGGGACACCTTCCACTATCCCAGGTTGCTCATCCAGCCTGGCACTGAGCATTTCCAGGGACTGGGCAGCCACAGCTTCTCTGGGCACCCTGTGCCAGGGCCCCACCACCCTCACAGCCAGGAATTTCTTCCTTATCTGCTCATCCAGCTCTGAACTCCTGACCCTAAATTAAGGGAAGAAGCCAAGAGCTATTATTTCATGTTAATTAACATATCCAGTCATGGGTTTCAGTTTTTGACATCCTGCTCTTAAGTATTGGCCAGAGTCAAGATGAAGATCTTGATGGGAAGATGGGGAATGAGGATTGGAAGGGAAGATGAAGGGAGAGCTGCAAATGGAATTGTTTCTCCCAGCATCACATTTCCAAGAGGGTTTGGAAAGGGACAAACCCACCCTGAGCCTCACACAAATCACCCCAAATTCAAGGCTGGGGAATGTTTCAACTCCACTATCTCAGGGATTTCTCCAACCTAAATAATTCCATGATTCACCAATCCCTGCTCATTGGCATGGGGACACAGCCACCCCACAGGAATGGGGACAAGAAATTGTCCTGATCTGGTTAAAAAAATCCAACTTTAGGGGCACCCTCCACGTGAACACAGGAAATGGGAAGGATAATGTGGATTTTGCTGAGCCCACCCCCTTGTAAATCAGTTTTCAGCTCAAATAAACCCCAAACTCCTTCTTTTTTGGCTACAGCCTCACCATTTTTTTTCCCAAAAATCCTCCTGCAGCAGGCAAAGGCATTTCAGGGCTACAGAAATCCTCGTGATGAGAAATCATCCTCCAATGATTTCACCCCAATCAAACCTTTATTAGAATTTTATTTTAAGTAACACTCACAAGGAGCCCAATGACCCTTTCCAGCCTCTGGGAATCACCCAACAAGTTGCATCAGCAGAGAAACAACCCCGTTAAGCAGCCCCATTAATTTGAGCCTCCCCCCTCCTCATCCCCCCCAGGAATTACCTGAGACTGCTTTAATTAGGTATCCACCGTGCAAAAGAATTAATTAATTGGTGATAAGCACCTGAACCACATTACTCATAAGGCTCTATTTCAAGCTTCAAATACAGCAAACAGGTCACAGCCCAGCTGAGGGTGTAGGCAGAATTCCCAGGGCTGCTGCCTGGTATTTCTTTTCCCATCTTTGTCATGGAAGGAATAAGATTGGGATTTTTTTTTTTTTTTTTACCTTAGTTTTTATTTTTTTATTAATTTTCCTTCCATCCTTGGAAGTGTTCAAGGCCAGGTTGGAAAGGGTTTGGAGCAATCTGGGATAGTGGGAATTGTCCCTGCCCGTGGCTGGATGATTTCAAGGTCTCCCCCAAACCAAACCATTCAGGGATTTCATTTCTTTTCCAGGTTTTTCACAGCATCCAGAGCTGGTGCCTTCAGAATTACTCCAATAGTGGCTGCACCACATGGAGATGGGAGCTGTGTGATAATTTTGGGGGGATTTGGTGTGTTTTAGGCGTGGGCTGTGGGGTAAAACCCTGTTATCTTGGGGCTGTGAGGGTTTCACATCCTGTGAAGTGAGTGAAGCATCTGCTGAGGGCAACACCCCAAAGTGCAGGTGGAGGCTCCACATGGAACGGGGGAGGGTTTAGCAGGTTCCTGAGGGGGGAAAAAAAAAAGAGGAAAAGGAGAAGAAAAAAGGGTATAAAAGGAGGAGGGGAGAAAAGATAAATAAAAAGAGGAAAGAGAGGGGGGGAAAAAGAAAAAAAGGGGGAAAAAAGGAACTTCGGTGCATTCTGTATTTCCACAATCCATAACTTTGAAAAGGAATTTACTGTGGCTTGTGCTGGCTCTGACATTTCACAGCCTGGCAAAGCTGAGGCTGTGAGAGGGGGTTCTCCAAACCGATGAGGATGGGGGACAGGGATGAAGGCAGGGATGGAGAAAGAGGTGCAGACAGGGATACAGGGATGAAGGTGTGGATCAGGGCAGGGATGCAGACAAGATCTGGGCACGGATGTGAGCAGGATGTGGGCAGGGATGCACACAGGGATGTGTGTGGGGACCTGGACAGGGATGCAGGCAGAAATACAAGTAGGGATGCAGGAACTGATTCAGGCAGGGCTGCAGGTGTGGATCAGGGCAGGGATGCAGGCAGGGATGCAGACAAGATCTGGGCATGGATGTGAGCAGGATGTGGGCAGGGATGCACACAGGGATGCAGGCAGAAATGCAAGCAGGGATGCAGGAAATGATACAGGCAGGGCTGCAGGTGTGGATCAGGGCAGGGATGTGGACAAGATCTGGGCATGGATGTGGGCAGGGACACGCACAGGGATGTTCATGGGGGTCTGGGCATGGACGTGAGCTGGACGTGGGCAGGGATGCAGGCAGGGATGCAGGAAATGATGTGGATGAGATCTGGGCACAAATGTGAGCAGGATGTGGGCAGGGATGTGAGCAGGGATGCAGGTGTGGATCAGAGCAGGGATGCAGACAAGATCTGGGTATGGATGTGAGAAGGGATGCAGGCAGAAATACAGGCAGGGATTCAGACAGGGATGCAGGTGTGGATCAGGGCAGAGATGCAGGAACTGATGCAGGCAGGGCTGCAGGCAGGGATGTGGACAAGATCTGGGCATGGATGTGAACAGGATCAGGGCAGGGACACACACAGGGATGTGTGTGGGCACCCGGGCAGCCCTGCCTGCAGCCCTGGCACAGCTCAAACCAGGTTATTTGGGCGGGCTGGCAGAAGTAGGTTGTTGGTGCTGCCGCTCCCCGCTCGGTCGCCGGGCTGACCCATATTATCCCAATTAAATTTAACTCTCCTGCCCTGCTGCTGCCTCTGTCCCCTGTGCCCTGCAGCATTCAGGGCTAAAGTAGGCCCTGGTTATGGAGGCAGAGGAAGGAGGAATGAGGAGAGGAGGGCACGGCCAGCGAGGCAGAACTGGGGCAGGGGCTGAGAGGCAGCAGCAGAGTGTGCTCAGCAGCTCCCCTTTGCTCCAGGCCCGACCCACCTCCGTTTCCCCTGCCCACACTGCTCCTGCAGAACAGCAGAATTGGCTTTTCCCTGCCCAGCTGCTCCC